CWWGCTGAGCAAAACGCGCAGATCTCGCCGCAGAATGCTGCTTTTTCTTGCATTTTGCGTCTCTTCACTTTGCACTTCAGTGGGCGGTGCAATTGTTGAACTATGTCAATTCGTTATTAGCATTACAATGTGAATATTACCAAGCATTCTTTGGCGTGTGTGTGTGAATATGTAAATTTCTTCAAAAAGTCTTAAGTTTTATTCTTTTCGTTCGATGCAAGTTTGCCTCTWGGTGGCTTAGCTCCATTATTACTTTTCATATTTGCATTTTTATTTATTACTTACAGAACCTGTTCTGCGAGAAATTATCTTGATGAAAAATGCTGAAGTTTTGTGGGTAATAATACAATATTCTTAAGTAAAAACTAATAATGCTGATATAAAAGTTGTAAATAATGGATCACATATAATTCGAAAATCTTAGTTGGAAACTTTATTTAAATTTCTAAGCTCAAATAACAGATTAAAGTTAAAAATTTAACGTCAAGTTTTTAATAAAACATGTAAGAARACCAAAATCCGATAAATTTAGAGGTACCAAAGACCGAATTTTGTCTATTAATATAATATGTCACATACTAATAGTATGTTCCCTGGGTTTCATTAAGGTACCTAACATACAATCACCAATCATATGGACCAAAATCAGCTGTATATTCGAAAATCCTGATTCTAGTTATATGGGAGCTAGGTCTAGTTTTCCTTCAATTATATCTATTTTAGACAAAWATAAGCACTGTTGTTAGAAAMATACGTTCTGCAAATTTYATTGGGATAACTCAGATATTGGCCGATATATCCAATATAAAGGCACGCAGAAGTTCGATTTATAATTAGTTTTATGGGGGCTCAGTGAAGTATGTATCTCTGAATTTTAATTGTAAGTATATCCGATACTTACGGTCAAAAGTCAATTATAGATACTAGGGTCCACACATTCGGCACTTGGAGCCTTGGRCAGTGTTGGTTGGATTTGGACAGTTTTGGGTCCTAAGGTGGCTTACCCTAAAGGTAATATGAGAAGAATGTCACGTATTAAATTTAGTCGAAATCCGTCGGACGGGTCCTGAGATATGTGATTTTAACTAAAATGGAGCGGTGCCACACCTATCGCCAAATTTGTACCACGGTATCTCTCATATCATCTCGACTGTTAAATTGTATGTCTCCGTGGTATTTAGTACACATTTACCGCCCTTCTTTCGTAGTTTTTAACAAAAGGAAAGTGGACGGTGTTATCTTCCTATTTCAACCATTTCTACAGTATCGAAAGGGGTGTTAAAGGGATTTGTCCTGAGTGAATTTGGCTATTGTAGCTTTAGTAATCTAAGATATATACACATTTATGTATCCTCTGACCAAATTCGAAATAATTTTTATCAATTGCTTAGAGACTAGTTTATGGTATGTAAGTTTCACTGAGCGGCATGGGTAGGTTTCCAAGCATTTTTCAAGTTGATGCCTAAGACTGAGAACTATTAGATATGCAGATGTAATTCAAGAAAAAAACCCACCATGGTGAAAGTATTTATTACCATTCTAATCACGCCATAGGCATAGACACATCAATATAAATGAGCTAGTTCATCTCCTGCTGAAAGAAGATTCGGTAAGCGATCCGATAGGGAGATGTGTATAAGAGACAGGGCATAGACACATCAATATAAATGAGCTAGTTCATCTCCTGCTGAAAGAAGATTCGGTAAGCGATCCGATAGGGATGAAACGCCTTTGTCAACAAGTCCCTGGACTATGGAAAACGAGAGTTCGATACAAAACACTTCAAAGGCTTCTTAGAAACAAAATAAAGCAGCTTGTGGAATTTCATATAGGTCAATACAGGCTGCTCCACGGATCTACATCTTCTATGAGCAAAGAGCAGAGACACCAAAGAGCATACTCCATGATTGCCCGGCAATCACAAAATTAGTATAACTATCGGCCAATTAAATCGGGTGAGAGAACACATTACAACTATGCTGAGTTAATTATCACGTAAACGTAGTATTATTTTTATTACCGTATTAAATTCTACAACATATCTATAATTTATTCCTAAATTTTCAATTTGATCCGAGTAATAGTTTCGGAGATACAGCCTTGAGAACTTGTGCGCTCGAAGCRGTCTTTAAACGCGTTTTCTCGAAACTATGTTTTTGAAGTCGATTGGCAAGATTTCTTGAGAACTACTCAACCGATCTTCATGAAATGTTACACAGATTTTTGACAATCCTTAAAGACTTGAACGAAGGACATTTTTTCGATTGCAATTATTTGAAAAAAAAAAAATCGGGAAATTTTCACTGAACTTTTCAATTTTTTTGTAAAATTGTCTGACAAAAATCCTATTTTCAGTTTCTTTCTTTCGTTCAAGTWMTAAGTTAAGATTTTAACTAWATTCTTTCGCTTTAGATGATCCTGTAAGGAGTTATCCTGACAACGCGGGCGCATCTTTTTTCTAAGKGGTYACCGGAAATGGCGTCGCAATGGCCGAGTTAAAAATATYTTTGTCTAAAAATTTCAGAATTTCTTTAACATTAATTAATTTTTTATAWGAGAAAAAAAAWTTTKRAAAAAWWSTGTTTTTTATCCGAGGAAACCCATACAACCCCTTAACTGCTTTTAAAAAATTAATTGTTTTTAAAATGTTTAATTTAAAACCTGACTAAAATATGTACTAGTAAAAAAATTCATAAAATATTCTGCCAGAATAGACCACGGTAACTTGCTGCAAACTGTGACTGCTTTTTGGCTCTCGAAGAGTTCAATGCATGTCAAAAACCAAAACCTGTTGAAGGTTAAATGGAAAATGTGTGAAACTTATTTATTGTACCAGTTTGGCAAGGTCTTTGTGCCAATTCACAAGATTCTACAAGGTCATAAAAATATTTACACATGTACGTAGTATAAACTATTTAACAAACATAAATCGTTTTAAGAACAACAAAGTAGTTAAATGTGCTGCAGGAATATTTATCTTGTGCACTTAATAGTAATTTTAATGAAAAAAATTATTAACAACTGATGAAAAATTGATGAAATTTAAAATGGACGCAGGACAAACATTTATAACATTAATATTTGAAAATTACTTTGGGCCAATTTTAAGGACATTTTCGGTACAAGACTGTATTTCATTAGAAAAAATCGAAATACACTTGCATAAGAAGGCAGCAAGGGGAAGACATCCCCAACTTCAAACCTCAATTTTCAAATCTTTAACTTACCAGTCGTGGCCGCAGGTGTGGACGAGAATATTGGCGTTGATACCGTTGTTGCACTTAAAGCTTTGCGCGATTTCTTTTCCTCCCGCCGGTTGTTAGCCACAACCGCTGGCGTCAACGTTGGCTGTGATGCAACTTTGCTTTTCTTACCAGACCCCCGGTTCGTTTGTTGGCTCGCTACATTTGCAGCATTCGAATTGCGAGCACGGTTAGTTGCCAACTGACGTGCACTTTGCGCCTGGGAATCAAAAGAATTGKAACGTTGACTTGCTGCAACCGCAGCGGATTTGCCATCGCGTGAGCTCGAAGGCGAACTATTGCCGTCTCGACGCTTTGGCTTGGACTTCGCTGTGGCAATCGGTACCGCGGTCGCGGGTGCATTTGCCGTTGTGCTACCACTGCGCTGAGTTTTCTTCACCGGTGGCACGTCATTTTCACCAATCATTTGTGTGGCTGGCGCTTTGAGCGCATCATAGCGACGTGCTACCCTTGATGATGGTGCAATGTCTGCTGCATCGTTTAACTGTATGTCCGTTTGTAGTTTTTCGGTTTCTTGCTTGCTATTTCTGGTATCGGCGGATTGTTGGCGATCTGCGGCATTAAGAGTTGTGATGTTAGCATTCAATTCAGCAACAGGATAATCAACAATATTTGTACCGAATTTTAACGGTTTATTGGTGGTATGGTTTACTTCCGCATGTGCAGCTTGTTGCTGTTTGCTGGGCGTAGCTGTTGGCCGATCTTGCTCTCGCCGTGTCTGTGGCTCCGGCTGTTGCAGCGCACTTGCATAATCCCCAACAACGATAACAACAATCACTGCGAAGTAGAGGYACAATAGCCGATTTGGCTGCAATATCGGTAGTACTTTCATTTTCCCATTCAACCGTCTACCTGCMGAATGTTGTTGTTTGTGTATTGTGTTGCTTGATGGTTGATTTTATGTTTGCCCGTAAGTAAGTCAGCAGTGTAGCGGTTACTTTTTTGGTTTACTTTTTCACATGTGTRTATCTGCTTTGTTTTGCTTTTGGTTTTCTTAAACGTATCTGGTCCAAAGACCCAACTAAGGTCACACTGACCTCAACTACAATTAGCAAGTCATATCAAATCGAATAGTCAAACGTGAAAAATTAGGATTAAATTAAACCGAATTGAAGTCAAATATGAAACACGTTAACCGACACTTTTGCTGCTCAGAATACAATGGCTGATTATCTATAAACTTGATTCAATACAACTATGTGTATATTTCCATTGTTATATATTTTTAGCACCTGTTAGTATGTTTAGTGATGCAGTAATTTCTTGTAAATGTTCATATGACCGTCGACTGCAATATATTTCGCTTTAGTGTCTCGCTTTTATAAAATGATCGGTGCGCATGCGCAGAAATCGTTGCTTCGTGGTCGCGGTTCGCTTGCAACTGAAACTATAAACTAAACTTGACTTAACTTCAAACTTTTTGGACATACCAAACCACCATAAGTTATTCATACATACATATAAATTTGAGATCATATGCGGACGTCAACTCTCTGAGTACTCGCTCAACATCTTTGAAACGCCGCCAAATTCGGTCAAATTGATCGGAAAACGGTGATGCGGAAGGAAGATTGCTAAAAAAAATTTTATTTAAAAGCATGTCTTACTTGGTTTATATCACTTTTAATAAAAATAGCACCATCAAGTGCAGAATATTTTTACATACTTATTGTAAATACATWCACCGGTGTCTATACTTCATTTATTACCCTTCGGCAAATAAATAAATCTATATGAAATATGAGATGCTAAAAGWTTAGAAAATCTCCTATTTAATTAAAATTTCCTCTTAGGGTTTGCAACCCAGTTCATTTCGCACATAATTTTTCAAGTGGAAAAATAACCACATGTTACAAAACAATCTAATTCAGTTTTTTAGTGTTTTCTTAAAAAAGTTAAAGTACATTTAATTTTAAGTGCAACTTCCTGATGTTGAAGCGATTATCCTAAGCACAGCAAAATCCAAGTCAATGCTGATTATTAGTATCGACTGTTGTAGTTCCTGTTCGGGACTAACGGTTGAATTCCTGCAAATATGTACTTTTGAAATAGTTTTATTTCCTGCAGCCGAAAACGTATATTCGACATTTTTGCTAAATGATTAATCATTTCAAAAAACTAGCACAACCACACACAAAATAATGCTGACTTTAATTAAATCCAATAAATAGAAATATTGTAAATAGTGATCTCATGCTAAATGCAGAGATATTATAAAATTGTCTTTTTAGAACATCACCCTTCATCGAATTAAGAAAGGTGGCACAAACGTCTAACTTAGAGTATCTAAAATAAACCATCTCTTAATCCAGCATCACACTATATTGCTGACATTATAACTTGTGTTGAAATAAAAAATTGTATAAATAATTCTTCTTGTTATGTTTTATTTTCATCGGAAAGCTCAAATAAGTGATTTCACTTTCACAGTATATTAACTATTTGTACTCGCGCTCACTTCCTTGAAAAACCATTTAGTTTTTCAATTCCATTGCCTCTTATTCAAACTTTCAAATGATGTTGTTGTTGCTGCTGTTGCTGTTGTTGCCCACATATTAATTCATGCAGTTTGTCTTTCCAACAAACTACTTGTATTAATATGTGAAAATAATTCGATGACCCAATACATTTATTGTTGGTGTCATCTGATGAGATTTATCTCAATTTAATCGAGCTGTAAATAGATAAATACAGTACAATTTATTTATTGTTAAGTACATTCAAATGGTTTAAGTGCGTACCTTCTTGAAGCCAATATCATTGGCATACTCTCTGAAGCACTGACGGCAGATGTTCAGACCATATTTGCGGATCAAACCATGTCGGTTAGAGCAGGAACGGCTATAAAAATTTAAATCATAGGTATTACGAACAATATTTTCTTTTTAKTCAAAGCTATATGTATAYAMAATTKTTTTATTTGTGCAAGTGTTTCTRTGTAGATTACTGTACCAATYCTACTCTTGCATGAAAGCARACACCAAGTAGAAAAATCGCCCAGTAACCAAATTACTTTTGCCACCCTCAATTAAGGAAATCATAAATGATTAATTTTACGAGATTTCCGTACTCAACCGGGGGCATATTTCACTATTGCCAAAACTCCACCATATTCTAAATTTAAACTTTATAAACAAAACCTACATAAATACCAAAGGCACATTGATTCATTTTTTTCGACATAACCTCAATTACTTCACATAGTTAAAATTTAACGTGGTGCTGGAATTTATGCTTCGGTGATGAAGTTTTTCTCCAAATTAAATTATTTATAAAATATTTACCAGCATCTTGAGCCTTGGCCGTATTTACGTGGATGAGAATACCAAAGATTTGCGAAACCCATGTTGGCTATTTCACTTCAAGAATCTAAAAGAAAGGAAATATGGCCGTCGAGCTTCGAAATGTTGAAAAGGGTGTGGTGAACTTCCAAAATATATTTCGAAAGTGGCAGCACATAATGTTGCCATTTTGTAATTTTTATTCTTTCAATTTTTATTTCATTTCGTACAAATTTATTTCCTAATTATTAACATACTCAACATATAAAAATTACATTTTTCAAACCAGTTTCCACCATTACTTTTTAACAAACCAAACCTTTTAACCAGGGTTGAAAATATTAGTCAATGCAAAAAAGAAAATATTGTAAATTAATTTCTTAAATATAACTCGATATAAGATATTAATGTATTACAATGGATATTGTTTAATTTCCTCAAGTGAAATTTATATTTCTAAACACAATTCATAAAGCAGCTGCAAAAGGATCAACGAAGCAACCCTGGTGTAGAGGTATTTGACAGGTAAGCGGCTTTTAAAAAGTAACGCCTTGATAAAACTGAAGAAGAAGATGAAAAATAAATGCATTCATAGCGGGCTTTGATAAAATTGTTGTTTATTAATATTGTGAGAATTTTCATAAATTTATAGTTTTACGAATCAATTTTAAAAATTTGTGACTACGACGTGCTGAAACCTAAGATATATTAAATTATCCCATTAAAAAACGCGTAATGGATATCTCTAGGCAAGCATTTAGTGAAGCGAATACTACCGGAGTATCCATGTATTTGTCGTTTGATTCAAGCATTTCTAGTGCAGCTTATAAAACATTGGAAGCTACTACATGTGATCTTTCAATGTTGTCAAACATGGACCATGAGGAAGCAACTGTTGAAAATTCTCAGGAAATTCATCAAAATAGCACTTTGGAGGCGTTAGATYCGCATTTGAATTACCTTGAATCAGTTAAGGATATGGACGCGTGTTCAAAGCTCTCTGCTTTACCTAAGCGTATTTTGAAAGAGTATAATGTTGTCAGYTCGACACCCACCAAGGAACAGTTATTACGTAGTGTTGAAGTTGTTCGCGGATCCAGCGCCGAAAGATGTGTGGATCTAAAGTTTGCTTTTATAGACATGGATGAAAAAAAAGTTAAAAACCCCACAGATAAGGAAAATGCTTTACCTCCTAAGGAGGTAACAGCAATATCCAATAAAARCGACGAAGCCTCACTACGGACAATAGTAGAAGAAACATCAGTTGTTGACGAAATAAATACAAGTAAACATAAGGAAGAGCCAAACATTCAAGAAACAACACAAAAGGCCACAAACAAGATATCAATAACCGACGAACTATCACGRGATCCAGAAAAACTAGAAAGTAAACGTATGTATAAATTATTAATTTTTATTTACAAGTGTCTTGTATGTCTTTAAATTACTATAAACAMCTACATATATACAGTTTCAGATATAAACAAAAGAAAATCAATGATTAAGAAACCTTTATGTGAACCTGATCTCAAAGCTAATCGTCCATCAAGAATTTCTATGAATCCAAATAATCGTTATACACAAAACAATATTGGTAMAAAATCAAATATTGACAAAGATATAAATGAAATTCCAAAATTAATGAACAAGGTGTTGAAATTCGCTGAAGCTACAATCACAGAGAACGATAACACTAAAACAGCATCTCTCTCGGATAYGCGTAAGTCTATTTCATATAAACCAAAAGGACGTTCATCAATGCTACCATCTAGTGTAGCATCGCAAGGTGAGAAGCGTCCTTTTGCATTTACTCAACGTATGTCGGTATTGGTAAAGACCACATTAAACAGCCCCGCACGTAAAATAGCTCGACGATCTGTTCTACCCAACATGCAGCAAAACAGAAAGAGTATCATACCCACAGGACTATCGCACAACAACCGCAAAAGTATGTTGCCAGTAGGTAGAACGGTACAAACCGAGGTAAATACAAAATGTGCACCAAAGCCAGTCATTGAGTCTACTAAGCAAGGACCGACCAACCGAAAGTCCATGTACCCCATAGTGTCGGCCAAAGGTGCTAACGTTCCACCATTAACTGCATCCAATACGAAAACTCGACCAACTTTAACCGCGAAACCCGAAAGCAGTTTCGTGTGCAAAGTTTGTGGTTGTAAATTTAGCCTTAAGTCGCTTTTAGATGCACATAAACGTTCTCATGAAGGTGATGGTGTACCAGCATTTGTTAAGAAAACAAGCACATGCGTTGCGAGTGCAAYTTCATCAATTACAAATTCAAATAACGGAAATAAATGTAGATATTGCGATAAAAAGTTTGTGCTACTTCGTGCTTTACACATACACCTGCTACAACATTGTCCAAAAATACCACCAAATGATAAGCGCAAGTTGAAATTCCATGAAATGGATCACGTTGAAAAAGCTCAATTGCCCGCTGTCTTCCATATAAACACTTCTGGTGCTAAAATAAACTCACAAATACAAGCTACATCGACGAATGTACCACCACAGCGCTCTCACTCAGATTTGAGTAGCATTTCTGTAAGTTCTACAGATTCCACAAATGATAAAAAAGGTAAAATAAAAGTATTTTAAATACAGTATGAATAAAACTGAAATTATGTTTTATTTATTTTTGATAGCGCTTGCTGAAATTACCATAATAGCGAACACTGCGGCTGCAGCAGTAGACGGTTTATTACCGGAGATGGCGCCACCCGCTGCAAGAATGGTAAAGAAAACAACAGCTCATGCTGGTATACATCGTACACCTAATAAAGCCATCATATGTCATATCTGTAAGATATCATTTAAATGTATAATGGATCATATTCAGCATAATATGGCGGTGCATTTTAAAAATACTGAAACTCCGAAAAGCAACGAYGAAATCGATGCCCGGAAGATTACCACCAATGCGAATGCATCGGCTACAAAACAGATGCAGTAATGCGATTTTTTCTTTTATCAGATGCGCCTTTCGCAATTTTTATATATTTATTTTTTATGTTAATTTTTCTGTAGTTAATTTCCGTTATTTTTAATTTACAAACAATTGCTATATGTTTGACGCCACGGCCACGAATTTTTTCTGTCAGAAATTTAGTCTTCGATTTTTTTTTTTTGTTTTTATTAGTAATTTAATTAGACGTAATCATAACAACGCAATTAAGATTGCCACACTTCATGATTTTCATTAATTTATGTGCATAACTTCACATGTAAGAACAAAATTTTAGTGCTTAATTTCACTATGAAATTATAATTTGATATGTATTGTAAGGCGTGAAGATTTTTAATTTTTTTTTAATCTGACTGTAACTCTCAATACATATCAATAAATCTACATAAATATCAATAAATACTCAAAATCAAATCGTTTTCCTTATATTATGAATAATTTAGATATAGATCTGAAATATTATATTAAACACGTCTTTTCTACACAAAAAGCTGCTCATTTGTCGGAACTGCCGTTATCGGACCACTATTGCACATATGTAGTTGTCATACAAAGTGAACTCATCCAAACTTGCCTATCAAATCAAGATTTTGTCTTAATCTCTTGTATTTGTGAAGCTTCAACCGAATTAACGCTTTAGTTTTAAGAAATTGGACCACGTTTAACATTAAATAGATTAGTATTTTTTCTGAAAGATGCAAATTTTGCTTTTACATAAAAAAAAAATACCCTTGCACTCCAACAATCTGACAACCTAAGTATTAATCGTTGACAAATGTTATTTAAAGCAATTAAAATTATTAATTGCCTAAGATCTTCAATTCTCTTCATAATAAATTCAAATTTTCTTGAATGCTCGCCCAATCAAAATTGCCAAAAACATGACAACGCTAATGCGGAAATTTATGTGATCATTTCCCTTCCGGTGGCAAATTGGTGGTCATTGCCAAAAATGCAAATGCACATTTTCTATTCAACTATACACAAGTTTCGACATGTAAACATAAAAATCAAACGTGCCGCAAATTTTGAGCACTAAAAATGTGTTCACGAGTCTACAAAAACGTACACACACTCCTACATGAACACTGTATAAATTCTTAACGCGTAATGTAGCATGCCAGAAACTACGCCAGATGCATCACTATATGTCTTTAAATATATACATACAAACATGCATATGCGTATAAGCGTCAGCACCTCTATATGTACTTTACACATCTCGCCAGTGCCACATTAAGATATGTAAGTGGTTTTGTTGCATCATATTGTTTGTTGCAGCAATAGGCAGACGAGAATGAAAATAACCAGACGCAACCATTTCATCAACGTCCAAATTTCTAATCTGAATTGTTGATTGTTTTACACCGYCTGCTTCGCCAAACCTAAATATTCTTCAGCTTTTCGTTTTTGTCGTCTACTTTGTGGTAAGGCATGCAACTGAAAGTCAAACATACATATTCACATATGTATGTGTGTGTTTGTGGGTTACAATATAAATAATATCGGCAATGGCTGGTGGTTTATGTCGCCGCGAACTTGAACTTGATAGATGAAATTTGTATGCTATTTTCAGGTCATTTTACTCTTCTGTACCAGAAAAAAAATAATTTTGACTCTTACGATGTCTAAGGGTTCAAAACATCTCTCATTTGTAGTAAATGCACCAAATATCAGGATGGTGTGCCCACACAGAAAATTATTTCCGGATTTTTGTATAAATCAAAGCAGAATTTTAATAAGTAATATTTAATAATTTTTTTTTAGGTTATATTTTTTTGATTAGCAATCAATTTGATAAAAAAAATACAAAAGAAATATGTTTTTAAATACTATGTTATTTATTGTTATCAATTCTCATCAACTCATGTTTTATATTTAATAAACTCATTGTGTTGTTGTCTACATAATCATACATGTATGCGGCGTTGTGTTCATTTCACTTGTCAGTTTGGATTTTTATTATAAATACTTATATATACTAAACCTACAAAGCATTGTTAACAATTACATTCTTAAACAATATCTACAAAAGAATGTACTGTATATATAAACTACAAACATATGTACATACACCATGTATGTTTAAGTATTGTTGGAAGATTTAACGTGTGATATTATGTGGCAGATTCGCTCTCAATATATTTTATAATTGCTTTGATACGTTTACAAAATATCTGCGCGCTGCATTAATTATCAACATATCTTGCGATTTTGTTAAGAAATATTAAAATTGATGAAATTAAAGATACGTCTGTTTCAAAATAATAAATAAAAAACAAAAAGTCAATAATAAATATAGCGAATACCAAAAAGAATAATGCTGATGAAATGCAGCATAAATAATAAAAGCTTTTTTGTTAGCATATCAAAGCAGATGAACTGAAACTTTAATAAAAAGAAATACAATTAAAAAGCAATATTTGGAAATCAATATCAGTAAAAATATGTAATTATGCATAATAATGGAATTATTTGTAGTATATTAAAGCTTTTAGCTGCAGATTAGCGAAAAATTCGAAGAGATAGCTGATAGTTCACCGAGTTGGCGCAACATTCACTTCAATACCTTATTTTTAACAACTAAATATTTCTATATTACAGTCCGTAGGTTCATTTCCTTTAATCATAACAAATTTAATTTGTTAATATCGACAAAGGCTTGTGCGTTTCTTCGATATAGCGTTATTTCTAATTATATGTATGTATAATATCTTTTTAACTTTTTAAAAGCTGTAAAGCGTGTAAATCTTGCCTCCTCTTGAAGTGATCTCCATTCTCTTCGTAATTTCGCCAATATCCCAATCATTAAGTTTTGTAATTCCTTTTGTTTGACGCAAAAATACTGGCATTGATATCTATAAGACTTTCTTCATGTATTTCTTTTTGGCATTCTCCAAACTAGGCAGTTCGCAATGACGCGGCCCATACATCGATATGGGCGCACAGTATTCATAACCGATACGTTCATAAAATCCATCTTGATCGATGGTTGATAAATAAATGGCTTTTAAATCCAATACGATGCGACAATAGTCTTCCGCAAATTTCATAATTAATTTGCCGAAACCTTGTCCACGACAACTTTTGTCTACCACCACCGACTCAATAAAGCAGGCCATCTTTTTGGACGCTATCTGGCTTAACTTACAATGAGCTATAACACGATTCATCCCGTCCGTAGTTAAAACTAAGCTGCAGGGAAGTGTATCACAGGAAGCTTCAAGCGATCGCATGCGAGCCGTCTCACTACGCGGCCATTCAGAGTTAATCAGCTCGCATGTCTTCTTCATTAGCTCGGGATAGTTGTGTATAGGAACAACACTGAAGGGGCTACCCGACACATTAAATGGTGGAAGACCCTGAAAACAATTAAATTTGTTGATTATGGCAACCATTCATCTAATACAATTATCATATTCATATATAATATACTAAAATAATTAATAAGAAAATCTATGAATAAATATGGTGTAAGGGATACCTCATAATACGGTTCCGACTTAATGAAGCGCATAGTCTGATAGTAGTGTAAGTAGAGAGGAGGCTATTAAATAATTTGATAATCTCCACCAATGTAGAAGGCTGTAAAGCGTCGCTAAAATTCTACAATTCATATAATACGAATATTTTTGTAAGCAGATAAAATATGATAAGGACATAAATAACACGCTTACGACAAAAACAAATGGCAAACGCCTCACAGAAACTATGTATGAAAATAACAATTTTGGAATTACATTAAACGTTCAATTTATAATTTCAAAACACAAAAATGTTTCATTTGCCTGTTGCCAAAATAACCATTTTAAACAATAAGCCAAACTATATGTAATATTTACTCAAAATTCCAAAAATAAAACCATTTCGTACAAAATATATATGTATGTGCCGACAATTTCTAAATATAATATATTTTCTGCGAGCACATTAGAATTAAATATTTATATGAATAATCTGTTGGAGCGCAAGGCGGTTGTCCGTGAATTTCAAGGTTTTACTCAAGCGCCTTGAATTGAGATCAAGTAAACAATTTAAAGGAGYTTAACCAAACTCGCTACTTGTATAATATTATTTCTTATATTCCAAAGTTTTATAAGAAATTAAACCGATACATTTAATTTCCATATGGAGATTACACATTGATGTATTACTACGATTGAGGCAAAATAGGTGGAGACGCTACTTTTAACTGATTATGAGTCAACAAATTCTGAACATTTTGAAGTGGCGAGACTTCTTTAAACTTGACACTCAATTAATAATAACAATACGCAAAAATAATTAACTTCAAATTACCAACACAAAATATGAAACACAAAAGCGAATAATAAATTGATTTTTACCATAATGTGATTTCTTCGTTGTTGCTCTTCTTTAGAAACGCCACGACGGACTGTAAAGAACGAACTGATTGAACTGCCCAAATTGGTACTGCCTCAATGCCTATGTATGTATGTTATTAATTAGTGAATAGCAAACTATTGCTTTCTATTATTTTCTTTTCTTATGTTGCCGCTGCTACCACTAGTGGTTTTAAATAAATATTTTAGTTATTTCGCAAAATGTATGTATTGTATAATAATATCTTTATCTTTAATATTCGTTGATATGTTAATTCAATGCTTTATAACGACATTCAATAAAAATTGAATTAAATAAATCAGCGTATAAATTTTGGTGAAAAATATATTTCAGCTGGCGCCAAATCACCAAATTAACAATAAAAAACAAACTTTTATTAATAGATTTTTGCAAAAGGAAGGTAAAGTAATATAAAGAGGAATAACGCGAGCAAAGTGTCAAAAATGTTTTTCTTATTTTCCTTTGAGTTGCTGATTCGTCAAACCAAGCGAATTTGGAGCATGAAATAAAAAGGTGAAAAAGCGCTCTACAGTGAAGCATTATTAAAGAACCCAGGCATTATAATTAAAATATTTACTTGTATAACAACGAATGAAAAATCTTAGACATTCTGCCGCCATATTCTACTATGTGCAAGTTATTTTTATGTGAGCAAAGTTAATTTGTACTAACAATAATATTAACTAAAGAAATTTTGAAATCTATCTTCTAATAATCCATCAACAATTGATTGCATATTTCGCTGAACTCAACATTGACCAGTATTGCCAAGCTCAAAAACTTATTTATTCAAATTATGTACAAAAGCAAAAACATTATAGTTTTTTCGTGACTACCACTGGGAAAATAATTTCAAAAAGAGATGTGGCAGTCCAAAAAATCACCTTATTAAATTCTTGCTCAGGGCACTTAGCTACGTTATGACATTATTATTTTACTACACTTTTTTGTTGACAATGCAACCCAGATCACAGCTGTTTTCAAGTACATTTTCAACTCGCGCATTTGTTATTGACAATTTCGATTTGTTAATTTTGGTATTACAACGTATTTTATTTATAAATAAAAAAAATTGCAACAGAACGCATATCACAATACACAAGAGAGACATACAACAATGGCAAAAGTGAAAGTATATCGTAGTGACTCACCTGAATTTGTGTCGCGTGCCTGTTGATAAATTTATTTGCTATAACGCCCTCACGTTTTGTGCCAGCGTTCACTGACCGACTGCGATAGATTTATTACACAACAAACAATAAATAAATCTGTATTAAAAATAAGTCAACATAAACTAAAAATAAACATAAACAATTTGCATCTGTGCAAATAGAGACAAAAGGAAGTGACACTTGTCGTTCAAGTTCATCACGTTGACCCTGAAGCGGTGCAATTAGCCATTAGGAAAGAAGTGATAAAAAAGCAGACATAACCGGCGAAAAAACAGAAACAATTTTGGAAAGTGTTATTTAAAATTGTAACATTTGAAGATGCTGCCAGGACGACAGATACCTCAGCCCATAGCACAAGAGAATCAGTTATGGGTATCATGGCACGATACACAAATGATGGCGTCACTGAGTCCAGCCACTGTTATGGATTACTTTTGTCGCAAATCGAATCCCTTTTACGACAGGGTGTGCAATAATGAAACAATTCGTATGCAACGGTTGAGCCTGGAGCATCTTAAGTATAATCTTAGTAATTTAAATTATATTACTTTTATTTACATTTAATTTGGTTCTTTATAGCAATATGGTTGGTGTAGAATATATCCTGCTTCATGTTGCCGAACCTATATTATATGTTATACGAAAGCAACATCGGCATAGTCCCACAGAGGCGACACCAATGGCAGATTACTACATTATAGGTGGTATGGTTTATAAAGCACCTGATCTTGCAAGCGTAATTAATTCAAGAATCGTAAGAACTAATAAATTTAAAAAGAAGTAATTAATGTTAAAGTAAATCTTAGTTAGCAACGGTTACGAATTTGCAATCAGCTTTCGAAGAAGCTAGCAGCTATTCTCGTTACCATCCAAACAAAGGCTACACATGGGATTTCGTTGCTAATAAAGCTCGTTAGTAAATTCATTAATGTTTGCACATATTGTAAATACATTACAATGTGTCTCATTTACAGTTTCAGATAAATCCAAAGGTAACAAAAAGGATCCTTCATCGAGCAAAGACGATAGCGGCACAATATTTCAAAAGCAAAGGGTTGACATGCTTTTAGCAGAGTTATTGCGCAAATTTCCACCTCCAATACCGCCAATGATACATCAACAGCAAATGCAAAACCAGCAGCAGTTACCACAAAATCAGTTACAGAACACAGCAACGGAAGTAAATTCAATTGAGGCAAATAATGTTGCTGGCAATCCAACTACCTCCAATAATGGTGCGGTTCCCTCAGAGGCAAGTCCTTCACCTAACACTGCGCAAGGTGGCATTGAGCCAAAAATTGAGGGTATCGATATGAAACCTCCGCCAGAAAAGAAAATAAAAATGTAAAACATAAATATATAAATATTTATAATTTATATATCTTATCAAAATAACTTATCGTAAAAATAAATGTGCGAATTTAATTGTTTCCAAAAACGTTTGATAATAACTATCGCCTATCCGACAAATTAGGTAGGAGACCAAATAAGAAACGAGTTTTTAAGTTGAACGTAATTTATTTAATTCCATATAGCTGCGCTTTGCCRTAAATCCATAATAATTTAAATATACTCCGGTAAATATGTATATATGAAGATACATATGTGTATGTTAATTGCTTTTGTGCAGTTTCGTTTGCATAATAATGTATAATTAAACAGATCCATTATTATATCGGCGTACAGATAGAGGCTTTGTTTGTATACTCTTACTGTGTAAGTTTTTTAGCTACTCCACATACTTTGCCAATGTGTTCATCTTGATCCAATGAATCAACAACGAATTTAGCTAAATCATGCTTAGAAATAGCTCGACCAGGTGCATCGTCATGTAATACTGTATAATCGGTGGATGGTTCATCGGATATGTGTGGTGGCAATATAGCCACATAGTCCAAACCAGACTCCTTTGTCAAATCCAGCATACGCTTGTGCTCCTCGTTTAGTTTATGAAATACTCCAGGCACTTCATTGAGTGGACGGAATAAAAATGATGACATTACAATGGAGAAACGGCGAACACCTTTTTCTTTCATTGCTGTAATTAAATTCTTCGTGCCACTTGATAATTCGGTGGTAGCCTCCAACTTATTGCGGGTTCCTAAAATTATGCAAACGCCGTCAACACCGTCAATAACATTTTTGCAATCTTCTAAATTTAAGGCATCGCCTTTAACTAGTTCTACTTTGTCTTTAAAACGATCCGGAAGAGTTTTCTCACTGCGATATAAAAGACGGACCTTTAATCCTAAAAGAAAAAAGGTTTTAATTATGTAGACAAACTTGCACACGAAACTTATTTACCTTTTTTTAAAGCGTAATCAACCACACATTCACCGGTCATACCGGTGCCACCAATGACAGCTATGCGTTGCATAATGCACGTGCTATTTTTCACAGGAGCAATTCCAAAGTAATACGAAAGGATTGCAATATATGTATTTGCTTAACTATAGAGCTTTCCACGGTAGTAATGGTGCACTACTCAAAGATAAGATTACAGAATTACTTATCTTTATAATAGACAAAATCGCTAACGATTGTTTAGAGGTACACTGTTCAGTCTGAAATGACATTCACAAATACTAAACAGATTTCTTGCTCACKGCAATAAAGCATCAAAATGAATCAACCAGTTTAATTAAGTAAAAATGTCAGGTTTCGTTTATACTACAGTACCTTAGCTCTGATACCTAACACAGTTCTACTTCAGTATAAATAGAAGGAAAGGAAATGTGTTGTTAATTTGCACTGTAATGTTCAATCATTTCACACGTAAAGCCTATTTATTTATTTTGCTCTGTAGGCTTGAAAACACATTTGCTACCCAATTGGGTTTGTCAGTAATATAAACAAACACAATTACTTCAAGAATCCCAATTGGAAAATGGTATTTCCAAATCTATATTACATTATACAATAATTAATTGATATTTGTGCATCAATTGTGTAATGAAATATACAGTAAATATCTAAATAAATACATATGTACATAGGAAGTCAAATTATTATTAATTTAAAATTAAATTTTTATTTTTTTATCGGATATCTAATCGATCTACTAATTCTGAATGTTATCTTCTTGCGGATTACACAAATTATTCCTACTTGGTAGCTGTTTCTATTTTCTCTTGTGGCTTATGCCATAATGGCATGTTTTCACATATCTAACTTAATGGGATACAGCGACTTTTAAATATACAGTGCGTTTATATATTTAAAATCAATTTTAGAATTATTCTGGAAGTTTATTATGAACATAATACTGTTTGTTTAAAAAATTCCTTATTTTTCCTTATTAAAACTTAGTATACCACATTTTTATATTTTTGGTACAAKAATAAATAAAAACTAATTGTAACTTGTTATTTTATTTAACTACAATTAATTTTATTATGATCCTAATGTTCGTTAGAGTGCGCTTATTTTTTATACAGTTGAATGAACGATTTATTTTTTGGTATGTTTTTCTAAAATTATTTAAAGTTATAACGATTGTTATGTCTTTCAATTAAGAACTTACATTTGTGCACATAAAATACTTTTCATTCTCATTCATTTCAATTATTAACACTATTATATGTTTGTTCACTCAAAACAAACTTTATCGAATAACATACAAATAGTAGGYTTGCTAAATTTGTCAAGACGCCATTTTTTTTTTTTTTTGAAAAAACAATATACGTATCTAGAAACAGCGGATAGTCGACAAACAACCAATATATTTTAATTTAARATAAATTAATTATGATGAATACAAGTGAAGAGGAATTCACAAATTCTGACGCCTGGCTGTCGGAGCAACTTTTCGCACAATTAAAAGAATTTAATTCTGATTACAGAGAAAAATCCGTTATAGATTCATCGACAACATTTACATTTCCTTCCGGAAGTCTTAGTTGCATAACAGAGGATGAACCCCAAGATTTAACCAAAACAAGACTGGAAAATTATGAATCGGGTTTCAAGTTACCAACAACAACAAACATTACTCCATTCGATATAAATGATGTTCTTGATTTGAGCAATATTACTGGTAGAGGCACAGAACCGGCTTTCTTGGATTTGGTGGGGACAGTGCCATTAACACCATTCGCCACACCAATCCCCGAGCCAATAGTAATGGTTAATGAAACAGTGAAACAAACAACGGGGTCATTCGATGCAACAGAAGAAGAATTGAAACTTTTGCAATTCCTGGAGACGCAACCCCAAAGTAGTCCGCTTGGTATGTGAACATAATGCATATACTAATAATATAGATCTAGAAAATATGCGAAAAATTATTAATAATTTTAAAAACTCTTAATTTCAGATACTAAATTATATATTCCGCCCGATGTTCCACCATCAGCTTATCGAATTGTGAAGTGTTCCAATTGCAACTGCCTCTTTGATATCATATCTTTTCAATCTCACATATGTGATTACGATGAACACCATAATCTAATCATCCCCCCAGCTGCATCTACACCTATTAATAAGCCCATCAAGGAAGAACCACTATTGCCACCGGAACCGGCATGCATTCGATTATTGCGCGAAAATCAGATACGCATTCGGCGTTTCTTAAAAGATGAACTTAAATATGATGTTAATGCGTCAATAAATAACAATTTAAACAATTCGAGTAGTACTTTAGGTAATACATCAAATACATCGACAGGCTCGACATCATCGAATACTGCTAGCAAAAAGCAAGATGGTCCTCATGAGTGTACACTATGCGAGCGTAAATTCGTGCATGCATCAGGCCTGTTGCGGCATATGGAGAAACATGCAATGGATCTTATACCAACCCCAGGCGCTTCGTCAGGTGGTAAAACGACTTCATCACAATGTAGCTCCTTACAGAGTGTTAATGGACTGCGTGTTGTCATTAAGTGTACTCTTTGTGGAAGAGTATTCTTTGAGCCATTTGCTGCTTTCAAACATTTATGTTCCCACTTTCCCGGAAGTATGCAGGAAGAAAAAGAATTCGATAATTGTGCTGAAATTCCGTACGAATCCTATGTAGACGATGCTATGAATTTTTTGAAGATGGAGGTAAGTAATTTTTATAGAATGAGCTATTGATGAGTAAAAAAATTTATTAAATATTTTAATACAGATCAATAATTGTGCGGGGCCGCTAACAGTTCACGGAGATAAATCACCTGTTTACCTCAAAATGGTTATTTTAAGTTGTATTTTGCAGTGTGAATTTTGTGATTTTGTTTTCTCGGAAGTATCCTATTTATTTGTACATTCCGCTTGCCATTTGCCTGAACGACGTTTTGAATGCTTTTCATGCGATATTCATATGCGCACGTCTAAAGAAATATGTGCGCATTGGCAAGCTGAGTGTGTATTTATGCGAGAAAATCTTAAGGTGCATCAAGCTTCTACACAGCGTTACTTTGTTTGTAATGTTTGCGAGAATAAGTTTCAATCCCTTGATCAGTTGCATGAGCATAGGTAAATATTAAATCAAATGCATATCAATACATAGAATTTTTTTTTTTTACTTTTTTATTTTTGACAGATATACAGCTTATCATTTTTTTCCACGTTTGAACAAATGCCTTGGTGTACTGCAACTACCTTGTGAGTACTGCGATGTTGTATTTGAGTTTGCGCAAGAATGTGTTGCCCATTATGAAGAAAAGCACTATAAGAAGTATAAACGCGATAAAGATGGAACTGGTTCTTCCAGTAAAACCCGCCAATACTTATGTGATATGTGCGGAAAATCATATACCCAATCCAGCCACTTATGGCAGCATTTGCGTTTTCATCAAGGTAAGCGTATTATAAAATATTCATTTATTAAACGTGATCTTAAAACCTCTTGTACTAAACTTTTACAGGCGTAAAACCCTTTGCTTGCAAGGAACCTGGTTGTACACGTAAATTTACCATTCGTCCTGACTTGAATGATCACATTCGCAAGTGTCATACTGGTGAACGTCCTTATCATTGTTTGGTGTGCGGCAAACGCTTTTTAACTGGCTCCGTTTTCTACCAGCATCGTCTTATACATCGTGGCGAACGACGTTATGAATGTGAAGAGTGTGGTAAACGTTTTTATCGTGCAGATGCACTTAAGAATCACCAACGAATACATACTGGTGAAAAACCATTTGGTTGCCTGTTTTGTACAAAGAATTTTCGTCAACGCGGCGATCGAGACAAGCATATAAGGGCTAGACATTCGCACCTGGATGCGAACGCGCGTTTAATGATGCAAATGCAAAAATTACAGTTGGAAGCAGCGGCAGCTGCCGCTGCAGCTCAAGCAGTAGTTCAACAGCAGCATGCCAATAATGCTGCAATTAGTATGAGTGGCATACCCACTGTAACACCAACTCTTATGAGTATGCCGTCTGTAAGCAATGATGTAATTGATGGCCTAGAACCGTCATTAGATCCGAATGAAGTTGTTATGATCGGAAATGTAGCTTTTCCAAAAAGCATGTTTGAATCCATTATTCCGGACATTGATGAAGAGTCTGCACTTAGAGCCATGGAGCAGTTGCAATAGAAAGACAGATAATTTCTGTGATAAATACACCTATAGATGTAATATGCTTAATACTATTTAATGATGTCGCAAGATGCCTCTTTGCATTTCAATTCTTTCTTTGTATATCAATTAATTTATTATAGTATTTGAATGAACCATATTGTGCTTTTATGTTTAAATGTTATAAATGATTTGTGATTCCACTATGAATTTAATTTGTGCTATAGTTAGGTAGGTTATGCATGTATTGGATTATAAATAAAAAAATTTAAAATGTTTACATTTGTGTGTAATTAATAAMGATAAATTTTAACTTCATAAATATTATATTTGATAATGTAGAATTTTTTAGTATGTTGCACTGTAAAGCTGATTTGGTTATSAAAACTGTTATAAATTTTGAAGTAACTTGGGAACTCTAACATTAGTTGAATCAGCTGTTTTCATTTCATTGTAAAATTCCGAGTCACCGCGCTTATTGTTTTATTATTCAATTGAGTATTTGTGGAAGTAAAGGAATAATTTTAAAACGCTGATATAAAAGGAAAGTTAAATTGACAAGCATTTTTTGAGAATTATTACAAAGGTAATATACTTTTATAAAACCTAAACAATAATATAATTACACATATAATAATAGATAGATACTATCTATATAATAATTGGAGCAAGTTACTAGTAGTGTATAACATAGATCTTCGCTCTTTTGATTATAAAAAGTGAAGAACAGATTTTAATTTTATAAATGTGTTAAACTTTAGAAAGAATAAGCAATTTCTACGTGAGTATACATCTGCATATACGCCGATTCAATAATTAGCCGGCAATGTGTATCGCGTGGCACTTAAAATACAAATTGGAMCATGTATTTGTTATATATGCATATATAATATAAATTTTTTTGAAATATTGTGGAATATGCTATAACATTGGGARTTTAGGAAAACCTGAATTGTTTTCCTTATCATAACTATTATTCTTKCAGTAATTTTGGAGAATATATGAATGCTTTGCAAGCATAAGCTAAAATAATTTATGYCAATTTAGRCATACATATATGTACATGGATATTTGCTGGTGAAAAATGWTTTAACAAAGTGCACATACATATGTAAATACCTGCACAGAAACAATGCCTCACTTGTCGGTTCCTTAAATTAATTGCAATAGTCTCCTACGTATATATTATATGTACACACATCATTATTACTATAAATTCTCTAGAAAATATGGCTTTGTAGATAATTTTAAGATATATGCACTTGTGTATAGGTTTTATTTCAACAAGCGAAAATACTGATAACAGAAAATAAACAAATTCTGATGTACGACAATATTACATACACTTTCATTGTTGTTATAACACGACTAAAGTTTTATTGCTGTATGTTTTCTGAATTGTATAAAGACGTAGTCCTTTTCAAAGTTGTTTTAAAATAAAATTTAAATTCATACTTCCAACTATGTTCAAAAATATTAACTAATTAACTAACGGACAGACTTTTACTTACATTTGTTAATCGCATTCAATTCTTATTGAACAAGTATGGTTAAATCTAATTCTTGTTATGTTTTCACAATTGCTAACATACACTTTTTCGCTAATTTCAGTCTATGCTCTCTTCAAAATATTCCACAAATCATAATTAGATATAGAAAWTTTTTCTAAAACGAGTACAAATGTAAGTACAAACTTCTTTCGATAATCCGATATACAATGGACTTTGTTTTAATCCACCCTCTATTTTCAGTATTAAAATTTGAAATTATTAGACATCCAAAAATACCCAAAAATGCTTAGCGTTAGAAGAGCTTTAATAACATATAAAACAATTCGCAGGATTGGTACTCAGTTATCTATCCCTGGCAGAAATTTGGGTCATGTGGGAAATTCAGGGAACGCTCGAAAACTTAATAGTTTACTATTATCTCAGACTTCAAATATAAGTAMAAATAAATTAAATTTAAGGTATTCGCAATTTGTTCTATACATTTTATACCATACTTTTATTAGAGATTTTTTGATTGTAATGCCTCAATAATTTGCTATTTCAGTAGCTACAYTTCATTTATACGCACCATGTCTTCCGCGAACGCCGCACATTTTGTTTTGCCCAATACYCAACCGATTGCTGATTTGGAGTGCAAAAATGCATTCATGGGCTTAACTGAGAAGGAAAAACTCTACGCTCACTACTTCAGTAAAGCTTCATGGGACGGTGGTCTTATAGCGCTGATACAATCTAGTCCGGAAGCACCGTTAATTTTCTCATTTCTTCAYCGCATTTTTGTTGCCGAACCATTGGAGGAATTGAAAGCAAAGGTTTTGTCTAATGGYATTACTGAAGATGAGTTCACCGTAAGTTAATTTTTAGTACTTCTTCAAATTCAAGGCTACGAAAAATGTGCTAATTGTTGTGGAACAGTGTTGCTAACAAGCTTTCTCATTTAYTTTAGGCCTTCTTGGTTTATGCTTGTGGTATTTTTGCCAATGCCGGTAACTACAAAGGTATGGGCGACAGTAAAATCATTCCGAATTTGGACGCGAAAAAATTCGAAACAATTGTTCGTTCATCAAYTGCCTATTCAAGTGATAAACGTGTTTCAGCCGCCTATGAGAAGGCCGCTCCTCTTATCTACGCGTTGAAACCGCGCAATGAGGTTCTGGGTTTTGCACCGAACGGCATAACGACGTATTGGTCAGATAACTGTACGAAAGAAGATGCTGACATTGTCAATGAGTGGTTAACATCGAAGCGTATTGAACCCTATATGTGTCGAACATTTAAAGTGGTCGAAAATGGACAAACGGTTTACGATATCAAGCTTGGTTCGGTAGATAATTCCGACAAGGATGGCATAACTCTGCCTCTGGAGAGCTATAATGGCAATAGTTTTCGTGTAACACGTGGTGACTATCAGAAGCTCTTACAGCGTGTCAATAAAAATCTGGARAAGGCGAAAAAGTATGCGGCAAATGAAAATGAGCAAAAAATGATYGAGCATTATATAAAATCGTTCCAAGAGGGCTCATTGGCAGATCATAAGGATGGCTCCAGGTACACTCATTAAACACATGACATTTTACTTGAAACAAATATATTGTTATTAATTATTCCAGATGGTGGATTAAGGATAAAGGACCTGTTATCGAAACCTATATTGGTTTCATTGAAACATATCGTGATCCAGCAGGTGGGCGCGCCGAATTTGAGGGCTTTGTGGCAATGGTCAACAAGGAAAGCTCTGCGAAGTTTGCCGAACTGGTATCACGCGCAGAAAAGCTGTTGGAATATCTGCCCTGGACTGAAGCTTACGAAAAAGACACGTATTTGAAACCAGACTTCACTTCACTGGATGTGTTGACGTTCGCTGGTAGTGGCGTACCAGCAGGAATTAACATTCCAAATTGTACGCAGTTCTTTACTTTTGCAAAACAAATTTTCAAAACTAATTTATTTACAATATTCTGCTTTGCTCCTAATTTTTAGATGATGAGATCCGTCAAGATGAAGGTTTTAAAAACGTATCGCTGGGCAATGTGTTGGCCAATATCAACCGTAAAGATCCCATACCATTCCTTTCCGATGAAGATCAGGAGCTCATGAAGGAATACAAAGTGAAGTCTTTCGAGGTAAGTTTTCTTGGTGTTATTGTTTAAAATAAATTTATTTATTCTACACGTATCTACTCCTCAGGTGCAAGTTGGCTTGCACGAGCTGCTTGGACATGGTAGCGGTAAACTCTTCCGCATAGATGAGAACGGCAAATTCAATTTTGACAAAGACAACACGAAAAACCTCATTACTGATGAACCCATCAAAACATGGTATTTACCTGGCGAAACTTACGATACGAAATTCGGTGCGATCGGCTCTTCCTATGAGGAATGTCGCGCCGAAGCAGTCGGTTTATACCTTTCACTACAAGCAGATATATTAGAGATTTTCGGTTTCAAGGATCCTGTTGAGCAGGAGAAAATCATTTACATCAACTGGTTGAGTTTAATTTGGAATGGTATGGGTGTTGCTTTGGAAATGTACAACCCACAATCGAAACAATGGATGCAAGCACATTCGCGCGCACGCTTCGTTATTATGAAGGTGCTGCTGGAGGCGGGTGAAGGCTTTGTCACCGTTGCGGAGACAGACGATGGTAAAAATTTACGTCTCACTGTGGACCGCACAAAAATCCAGACTGTTGGCAGAAAGGCCATCGAAGAATTCCTAAAGAAACTCCAAGTTTACAAATCGACCGCTGATATCGCAGCGGCAAGTGAAATGTATGAACACTACTCGGAGGTCAGTGAAGGCGGCTCGCATCCATGGGCGAAATGGCGTGACATTTGTCTGGCACATAAGAAACCACGTATAATTTTGGTGCAAGCCAACACGGACGTGGAGAGTGAGAAGGTGAAATTGAAAACGTATGACGCCACGCACGAGGGCTATATCAAGTCCTGGGTGGAACGTTATCCGGACACGGAAATCGATGATATTTTGGAGGAAATTGTCGAAGCTGAGAAAAAATACTTTCCAAGTGCCTTTGGAAATTAACAACAAATACACTGTTAAATTATAATAAATATATATAAGCATATTGAAGCGATAATGAGGAATGTGTATGTTTTATTTCTAGTTAAACAAACATTTTCATGAACATTGCTGTTTTTGTATTACAACAAATTATATATGAAAAAAAAATAATAATAATAAATATGCATTTTTTACTTTAGAAAAAACGTTGTACAGTTAGYATATGCTATATATATAAAATGTATGCTAGACCTTGCGTATTTGACAGGCCACAAAGTTGCAAATGTTCGTCTCCTCCTTGTTGGCCGGCGACGTAATAATGAAGCGCGCGAACGTACCACCATTGCTGTCGGCCAAACGACCGGGATTTATAGCCAAACAACCGTTTACCATCTGCAATTAARCATTATTTTAAACAAACCCAGCTTACAACAAATTATTATTTACTATATTTACCCGTATAAAACACTTCTGATCACTCGGCAACAGAAGTATGTTTGGTATTTGCTCAATTTTGGCGTATCTTGCCGCCAAGTAGCTGTCAAAGCTGATCTCATCGCAGGCTGGCGGATGCAGCGGGTAAAAGGAACCTTGATTGAACAGATGATTRACGATGCGCTTCACCTTATCTCCCGCATTGCTGTAAGAAAATGTAACTTAATCCATACATTCATTAAAATATTGCTGCAATGACACTTACAAGGCCAGCTCATTCGAGATTATATGTTGCATTATGTCCGTGGAGGTCATTCCCACAACGATGCCATTTAAATCAATCATCGATGGATCGGGCAAGACATGCACGTTGGGAAATGATTTTCGTAACGGTACTGACATAGTGGGATAGACAGGATCAGCGTTGGCGTCTTTATGTGAAGTGACAATCAAAATTGTTGTCAAATTGCTGTTAAAAATTATAAAACAAATTAGAAGGAAAATTAAAAATTAATACGCTTTAAAAATATGTAACTAAAACAACTGGAAAACAAGAAGAAACCTTGATTGATCGGTCAGTATGTATGCCAATTATATGCTATCGTAGCCCGATAGCGGTTCCGACAAATTAATAGCTTGTTGGGAAGAATAGAACATGTACACAATTTCAGAAYGATATCTCAAAAACTGAGGGACTAGTTCGCTGTCAAGTACTTTCTGAACAGCGTGTATAGACAGACGGACATTGCAAAATCAACTCAGCTCGTCATGCCGATCATTTATAAATATATTTTATAGGGTCACCGGCATTTCCTTTAGTTCAGAATATTGCGTAAATATTAAAATTTTCAAAATCCGGATCAAATCCGGTAATGTAGAAGCGGCAGTAGCCATAAACATCTTCACCGAATCCCTCTCAGTGAATGGCGTACTTGGAGTCAAACCAAACCTATTGCAGACGATGAGTTCGTGTTGCCGCGAGAAACGAGAGTGACCCTTGCGCAGCTTCGTTCTGGATATTCTAGCAGGTTAAACTTCTATTTATCACACCAACCACCTCTTAGCATGACCAGCGAACCCCATACATCTGACACCCCACTCSCTATGGTCCGTCTGSGTCGAAACCGCACGTTTCCTGGGTTTATCGGTGGATGACCTAAATGACAACTTATCTGAAGCTTACCATCTTGGGACTAGATAACCGGTATAACAACAACAACAAGTATTTCCAAAACATGCCTTTTGAACGCWTCAACCGCCTCTTCAGGTATCGAAAAACCTCTTATCTTTTACGTATGGGATTAAAAAGAAGTCATTAGGTGCCAAGTCAGGACTATACGGAGGATGACTCATCAATTCGATGTTTTGAGTGCTCAAAAATGCAGTTGTTTCAGCTCTCGCACTAGCATTGTTGTGGAGAAGAGTGATCGACGGTTGGTTTTTCTGTTTTCTTGAAAGTTTGCTGGCAAGCAAATGGTTATATTCCACCCAGAATTTACTGTTCTGCGTTGTTCTAGCGGTATGATTGTGATATGTCAAGTGCTTCGTGCGCGCACAACTTTCGGCTCGACTTGAAACTSGAAATAYCCACACAGTCGAATGCTGTTTACTTTCGGGCTTATACGCTAAATCCACGATTCATCACCTGTCACGATGTCATAGACGTGTTTCAAAGTACCGCTATCGTATTATGACAATATATACTCCTAGCGGCTGCCGACCGGGCGATGGACGTCGCTGTTGTCACCATCATAGTTTGACGACGGGATTAGTTACTAGAGCAGGTCTTGGTGGTATGAGCAGGCGGCGTCTAGCTAAGGCAGAGGTAGTGTATATGTACCTCTTCTTAGTAACTTCCTTTATATATAACACTGGACGAGGGGGGTGTATATCTACTTCTGATATTGCTAATGATGTACCTGGCGTTAGGTATAAAACCCTAGGGGTAGAGGTTYCCCAAAAAAAATAAAACTCAACATGGAGGATCGAAGGGAGAAAATCGGGCTGGGATAACAGAAGAAGAAAAATTTGCTTGGGCTGCGGCGTATTATAAATAAAGACCGCAATTCACATTCTCGGATGCGAGATTCGCAAAACGGATAACGGAAACTTAAAGTAAGTATAAGCACATACCACGTACATGGAGCCGCTCCATTGGATTCTAGGTATTTTCTTTCAATAGCACTCTAGGAACAGTGGCGTATGATTGAGACATAGCAATAAGATTCTTTAAAATATATTGCTTCGGAAAATCAAGGATTCTTTCGAGCTATGACTGGCATGGCTGGGCATAGATCCTCACATTGACCTCATCCACGCCCACCGATTTCTGAAAAGCTTAGACGCTAGTTTATTCAATAACGGACAGCAGAAATCCAAACGGTCTTCGAATTATAGAGATTATAGCATTATCCCTGCTTATCTATTGCCCGCTTTTTGAGTGCCTAAGGTTGCAACCGACCAGATATTCACCATGCGCCAAATCTTGGAAAAGACCCGTGAAAGGAGAATCGACACACACCACCTCTTCGTCGATTTCAAAGCTGCTTTCGACAGCACGAAAAGGAGCTGCCTTTACGTCGCGATGTCTGAATTTGGTATCCCTGCAAAACTTATACGGCWGTGTAAGCTGACGTTGAACAACACCAAAAGCTCCGTCAGAATCGGGAAGGACCTCTCCGAGCCGTTCGATACCAAACGAGGTTTCAGACAAGGCGACTCCCTATCGTGCGACTTCTTCAACCTGCTTCTGGAGAAAATAGTTCGAGCTGCAGAACTTAATAGAGAAGGTACCATCTTCTATAAGAGTGTACAGCTGCTGGCGTCATTGGCCTCAACACCCGCGCCGTTAGTTCTGCTTTCTCCAGACTGGACAAGGAAGCAACACAAATGGGTCTGGCAGTGAACGAGGGCAAGACAAGGGCCTGTCATCAAACAAACAGTCGTCGCACTCGCGACTTGGCACTCACGTCACTGTTGACAGTCATAACTTTGAAGTCGTAGATAATTTCGTCTATCTTGGAACCAGCGTAAACACCACCAATAATGTCAGCCTGGAAATCCAACGCAGGATAACTCTTGCCAACAGGTGTTACTTCGGACTGAGTAGGCAATTGAGAAGCAAAGTCCTCTCTCGACAAACAAAAACCAAACTCTATAAGTCACTCATAATTCCCGTCCTCCTATATGGTGCAGAGGCTTGGACGATGACAACAACAGATGAGTCGGCGTTGCGAGTTTTCGAGAGAAAAGTTCTGCGAAAGATTTATGGATGGAACGATGAGCTGTACGAGATATACAACGACATTGACATAGTTCAGCGAATTAAAAGACAGCGGCTACGCTGGCTAGGTCATGTTGTCCGAATGGACAAAAACACTCCAGCTCTGAAAGTATTCGACGCAGTACCCGCCGGGGGAAGCAGAGGAAGAGGAAGATCTCCACTCCGTTGGAAGGACCAAGTGGAGAAGGACCTGGCTACGCTTGGAATATCCAATTGGCGCCACGTAGCGAAAAGAAGAAACGACTGGCGCGCTGTTGTTAACTCGGCTATAATCGCGTAAGCGGTGTCTACGCCAATTAAGAAGAAGAAGAAGAAGGTTACTACAAAAACCATTAATATATATTTRCTTTTGCATATTGTATGAATGACGATCAATAGTGTTTGAAGCATTACTAAGAGAAAGGGTGTCAAAATTTCCCAGTGCAGTAAAAGTRAATGAGAGGATTCCACTCTCGAAGGCTACTTAGGAAGGAGAACCATGCAATGGCTCGAAAACTGATGAAATTTTCGCTGGCATAGTGGGACCACACACCAAACTATCAGGGCGTATGGTCATGTTTCCAAGCATTTTTCAACTTAAAACTTTTATCATTAGCAGATTTGCAGATAGCATTATAGAGAGAAATGAGATTCTGGTAAAACTATTGCGTTACTCATTTCAGGCAATATCGTCCGTCATAAACAAAATAATTTCATTAGCTTGGATTCGTGGGCATAAAGGCATGAAGGGCAATGAACTTGCCGATCTTCTACCGAAACCAAGGCTTTAGAACCGTAGCCGTTCTTCGCTGTAGACCTGGAAAGGTGTCATCTGCACACATTAGTGTACTATTGCACAGATCCATCTCGAGTCTACAATTAAGGGCAGACACACTACAGCACATACTTCTTGCTTTTCCGCAAATGGAAGCAGAATGCTTTAGGTCCCGACTCAATAGACCATCACTCGATATTCGACCTAAACGTAATCTAAGGTGTTAACCTTACTCGTACTGCGAATCATGGGTAAATATAAATGATTACTAACGAATACTTAATATTTCATGTAGGTGACATTATTTAAGCATTGCATTACTCACCCAATAGCATCCACAATGCTCGTAATCATTTTCTCAAAGAAGGATTCAAATGACTCGGCCAACGTAACATTTTCGGAGATTAACTTGTGTTCGGCATCCAGAAACGGTCCAGTTAATACTAGCACATCCGGTTTGTGTTCCTTTAAGTACGCAATCAAATCTTGCAATGGTTCATATGCAAGATCATCGTCATGAGTATACGGACCGGCAACGATGACAAAACTCAATGGATCTGTTAGTTTAGGCACTRTAGGTGGACTGAGTTGTCGSTCGGCTAACACCTCATCCACAATGAAAGTGTCGCCTTTGGGATTTTTTCCCGACACGAT